CGCCATCCTGCCGGAGCGGCCACCCCCTCCCGCCGGACGACCGCCCAACGCGGGCCGGGGCGGGACACCCCCGGCGGGTGCGCCGGACGCCGCCGCTCACCATTGGCCGTCGGCCCTGTGCGTCATCGCCGCTCGCCATTGGTCGCCGGCCCTGCGCGTCACCGCCACTCGCCATTGGCCGCTGGCTCCTCGCGTCATCCCTGCTCGCCACTGCTCGTCATCCCTCGCGTCATCGCTGCGCGCCTATCGACGCGCCCGCATCCACGTCTCCAGCGAGGGCCGGATTCCTCCCACCCCCACCCCCGTGGGCGCGCTTCCGTTGTGGGGGCGGGGCCGAGCCCAGGAGACGTGAGGCGGAGCATGCGCATGCAGGGAGTAGGCGCTTGCGCTCCGGGATGGCTCGTCGGAAGGGTGCGGGGGCAGTACTGGACCCGCCCACCTGAGGCGCATCAAGATTAACAGAGGATCTTTGGGAGAAAAATTGACTATGGGTGCCGGTGGAAGGGCTTGCCCCCAGCCCGGACCCCGACAGTGCGTTCGGGGGGCCGCCGAATCTTAGGAATCTGTGTGTGCGGTAGGTGTCACCGTCCTCATTTCACGCAGTGTGGCCCAGAGACTGAAAGCCACTTGTCTTTATACACTGGGTCACTAGGTCGCCGTGGCCGCTCTGGGACACCTGTCTGCAGAGCGCTACAGAGCGCGGTGCTGCCAGGCCGATGGCTGTTGTTCGAAGCCCTGGTGCAGGAAAACAAGACTTCAGCACTGTGGGCCTAAGCTACAGACGTGGTTCCGAAGATCAGCGTGGTTTCCAGTTCTTGTGGGAGGCGTTAACAGTTCCTTAAAAACGTCTATTCACTTAATGTGCGTGTGGGGGCGTGTGTACATGTTTGGGCGTACGCCGCAGTGCAAGTGTGGGGGTCCGAATATAGCTTGAGGGAGTCAGTTCTATGTCAGTCCCAGAGCTCGAACTCAGGTCATCAGGCTTGGGGGGAAGTACCTTTCCCCGTTGATCTCACCAGCCCGAATGTTACATAGCGTCCTTATGAACCGTTTAGCAAGTGGCAACCTACGTGGATCCCCTGAACATTGGGTCATCACAGCTCATCCCCATTCTGGACAACAGGCCGGGTGTATCTTGGGGCTTAGTTCCTGCTGGTTGGGGTCTGAGGAGTCTAAGTGGCCTGTCCTAAAGCCTGAGTCTGAGAAAAGGAGCCTGTGATATGGACCAACCTCTGCACCTTAATGCCTGATAGCTGGGTACATAGGCCTTTTAGTGACACAGACCTGTGGAATTAGGAAAGTAACTTCGTGGGACAGGACTGTCAGGTGACATTTTGGTTTCTTTGAAACGTTTATCCCTGGATTTGGTCCTTATAGCTCTGATGTGGCCTTTTCATCTCTCAAATGGGAATATGTGCTCAGGAGTGAACACCGGCCCAGGGGCCAGAGCAGGGGACAAGTCAGTCTGGGAATCAAGCTCAAGCTCTTGAGGCCCTTTTATGGGAGTGGACCTATTTTGCACAAGCCTTGTCTAAAATCCCAGCTGGCTCTGAAACTGGGGTTCTGGGTTGGCTGTGGTCCTACAGGCCAAAAGGAATGTTCTAGGACTCTGGACCCTGTCTAACTGACTTTATTAATCTATGAAATTAAGTAGAAATGAGCAAGACCTGCTTCAGAGTGGAAAAAAAAACAAAAAACAAAACTAGAAACCCAGTCCTAGTTTATGATTTCAGGGAGGGTTGAGAACCAGAAGATTTTTAGACTTGAGGGAAAAACCTTAATCAGCACCAGTTAGTTAGGTTAGGTGGCCTCAGGCCTGCCTGGGAGCTGGCAGCCCAGGACTGGGGCCAGATACAGTTCTGCACATTTGGGCCATGCCACATGAGAACTGAGTATTGGTGGGGAGGGAAGACCTAAGAGTTAGTCAGACAAGCTGCAGCGCAGGCTTCTCGGGGGGCAGGTCAGGCCTGGGTGAGATGAGGTGACCCCTGATGTAGTCCCAAAAGAATGACAGGTGGGAGACCCACCCAGTGCCACAGAAAGTTCACCTTTTCCCAAGCTGGTGTGGCTGTGGGCTCTAGGACTTCTTGCATAAGTGGGAATTCAGCAAAGGCCAGACTTGGTTCTGCAAATGAGAATCAATTCCCAGACTGGTTTGTGCAAATGTTTTTTTTTTTTTTTATTTCCACATTTATATCACAAGGTGTCCACTTAATGGACCAAAATAGCAAAGTTGCTCCCTTCTGCATCAGGACGCAGAAGTCTAGGTACTGTACATTCACTAAGGCTCCTTGTTTTTGCAAATCGCATTATGACAACCATAAGGCAAACGAATCTAAAGGAATGGTTATGAGTGTTTCCAGCAAACAGACAGCTCTCCCCTTGCCCAGCAGGCCAGTTCACGCTAGTAGCACCCGCGGGAACTTTGTGGGTTTGGTCTAGAAAGGTGAAATTTTCTAGAGAGGTGCAGAACAGGAAAACAAAGGGGAGTAGAGGAATTGATTTGGCTGGTTGTCAGATGGAAAAGATGAAAATAAACAGGAAAACAAATTTCTGCAGCATTTAAGAACTTGGGTTGAACTGAAACCGTATACAAATGGGTGGATGCCTATGGAGTGTGGGTGAGGCTGGCCCACCCACCCAATGCGCAGGGCTCACTGCAGCTGGGAAGCTTCCAGCTTACAACAGGAAGGAAAGAAGACACTGGCTTGGCAGAGGCCAGGCAAGTGTAGCCTGTGTCTCAGAGACACCAGAGCCAGAGAGCCAAGAGATGCAGAGATGAGATGTGTGTCTGTTGCTGTTACGGTAACCTCTCCCACAAGGTTCCTGTGCCTGCCTGCCACTGAGGTCCCTGTGTTCGGTGTTGGATGGGCTCCAAACCTCTTCTGGGGTGGGGACTAACGCTTTTTATAGCTGGTTTGCTATAGAGTTCTGAACTCCCTTGGCCATCTGCCTTCCATGTGGCCCTTCCTTTGCAATTTTGTTAGTAAACTGGTAGCAGCATTTCACAAAAGAAGGAGAGTGTGGAGGGAGGGCCCTGCACACCAGCCACCCCCATCCTGGCTCCCTCAAGGTGGCAATGCACTTGGTGGCTGCCAGGTGCACTCAGTCTAAGCAGACATAAGGCAGAATGTTCAAGCGCCCATCATCGCCGTGCGGATCGAGCGATATGCACTGCGTCCAGTCATACCAGTTACCCTGTGTGTCCTGACACCCATTCACTCCTGGCCACTGTTGGGCCTGGATTCTGTTGAGATCGTCCTGGGTGACCTCACGGGTGAGCCCCGGGAGGTCAGTGGGCGTGGGCAGTGGCAGCAGGACATGTGGTTGCCGGGCCCCACACCGGCTGGTCTCCTCCTGCTTCAGGTACTCTGCCATGAAGTGGTGTGCGCCTGGGGTCTGTGCGCCTGAGGAGGACAGCAGGCTGCTCTGGCGGCTCAGGTAGGACTGGATGATCTCATTGCGGGACAGCTCCTTCCAGTTCGTCTGCTCAAAGGGGCTCTGGAGGCTGGCCTTGGCCTCCTGCTGCTCTAGCTCTGTCCTGGGTGGCTGCTCAGTGGGCAAGGGGCTATCTGCCTGAACCGGCTCTTTCTGGGTTAAAGGTTTGATCTGTCTCGTCATGGGGTCAAAGGTGAGCTTCCGCTCTTTTAACCGCACAGGCTTAACGCCTGCTTCAGCCACCTGTCCATCCAAGTTCACTGTGTAGTCTCGAGGTCGGTACCTCTTTTTCTTTTTGCTGTCTGAGCCACCTGATGAGGCAGCATCACTGTCCGCCTTGGAGGGGTCTGGGGAGAAACCAGCTCGGGTTGGAAGGGGCTCTGCTGGGGATAGCCCACCCCTGCAGCCAGGTCCTGCCAGCCGCTGGTTGCCTTCAGGCTGCTCAGGCCAGTGCACAGGGCTCTCCGCACTGGGCGGCAGCTCCAGACGTCGCACAGGAGGCGTGGTTGGCTGGGCCAGCGGGAGCGGGGATGGCACCCGAGTGGTGTCCAGTGGCTGAGGCCGTGGGGAGGGGCTGGGCATGGAACCCTTGGGTGCAAAGGGGCTCCGCTGCCGAGCAAAGGAGCCCTCATGCCGTGAGTTCCTGGGACTGAAGGAACAGCGTGGAGTTCCCCTGGGGTGAGGCGGGCCAGGCGGCTCATCCGCCCTGTCCAGCTGCTGTAGCAGTGAGGGCCTGGTCTGGATGCAGGGTAAGGGCTTGCTTAGGCCTGGGGAGCTAGGGTGTGGCCGCACGGCGTTCACAGGAATCTTGCTGCTGTGCTTGTCATTCTCGCTGGGATCCAGGCGGCTGCCGTCGGGGCCTGTGTGCCCACTGCCATCCAGGGGGCTGGGCAAACTCTCAGGGCTCCCACTAATCCCATTAGTGGGGAGGGGGGAGGAGTTGGGGACTAAGGGGTCAGGACTGGCTTTGGAAACCTTGGATGGTGGCCCGGGGTGGCCCAGGTCTCGCTGGTCCCCCCGGCGCTTGCGGCTGCCTAGCCTGTCCAGCCGCTGCCCAGGTAGCCTCTGGATGTCATTGCGACTTTTCAGGTCGTGGATGCTCTTCGGCGCACCCACCACCCCAGCTTCTGGGCGGCAGTTGTGGGCACCCCCATTGGCTGAACTCACAGCTCCCGCCAGTGCTCGAAGTGCCACCTCATTCTGGTGTGCTGGCTCGATGAGCTTTTGCCAGCTTCGCAGCAGCCGCTTGGCCCGCTTGGCCAGCTCCTCATTCTTGGTTTTCTTGCGGACATCATTGATGAGCTTCCCAAGTCGTGTCTCCTACAACCAGAGTGATATGCTTAGAGAATGGGACCACCCCCACAAGGACAAGGGTGCTAAGCCAGATGGGGTGGGAGGCCTCCTTCCCTACCAACCCCCAAACTGCAGACACACTCTGCAGAGAATTCCGTCTGCAGCAGCCTGAAGTCCTCAGACCTGGGGCCCCAGTGGCCTCCACAGAGGCAGGCCCACAGGCACCTACGAGCTCTGCACCAACAAGACCACTCTGCCAGGGTGACTCAATTTTAGTCTAGAAGACCTGGTTCCCAAACAGAGGTCCATGGACAGTGCTATGAGGTGTGCAGGTCATGAAAAGAGCCCAGATGTGGGATAAGAAGCACTTGTTCTTGCAGAGCCCCATGGGAAGACCAAGGTCCTGGGCATACGGTCCACCCAGTTTTCAAAATCCTGGGAAAGCCGGAGCCACAGGAAGTTATCTGGCCAGGGCTGTGACTCACCTCCAATGCCTCTTTGGTAATGGGGTATCTCTCCAGGCTGGAGATGACTTCCAGTACTGCCACCATGTTCCGGATCTGCAGAACAAGAACCGCAGGTCCGATCAGGAGCTGTCCTCCCCTCTCTCTGTAAGACCTGCACGAAGGCCCCTAACACCACCTTTTTCTTCCCCCAGGGTTCAACACACTTGTCACTGTCAAGATGCTCATGAAACAGGACCTGCCCTGCTCTGAGACAGGCTCCCTGGAGGGGCTGCAGTACTTATCACCCACAACACAGAGAGCCCAGAGGAAAGAAAGATGGACACAGTAAATCAGTCAACCTGATAGCCTTTTCAAGATCTCTAAAAAGTCCTCTGAGACACCACACAAAACATGACATCACATATCACAGGTCAGAACAGAAGGAAGACCCTCTGGAACATAGAACACCTGGGAAGCAATGCAACTTTGAGTCCAGATTAAGTCGAGGCCAGAGACAGGCTCCATGCAGAACAGACAGGTCAGCACCAGTGCTAAGCTTTATTAGTGACAAGGAGCAGGCTCACAATCCACAGATGTGTGTGCCACATGGCCATGTAGTGCCACTCTAGGAACAGCTGAGCTTTCCTGGCAGCATTGTCCTGAGCAGCTCCAGCACATCCCTGACTTGTTTTATCACAGTAGACCCATGAGGCAGGCACCATCACTGTCATCCCACAGAGATGGGGTAGCACCAAAAGTCTGTGTGTCCAGTGTCCCTGTTCATTAACAGTGACCACATCCCAGTGGCATAGGTCATGCTGGCCAAATACAGCAACACAGATGTCCACCAAGAGTGGAAGGGAACTGAAGAAAAACTCTCCACAGCAAGAGGGATAAACCCAGCCTCAGTACACCCAAGAGGACCAATCTCAACAAAGTGCAATGCCAGGAAACGCAATGCCAGAAAGTATGAATCGCACAGCAGCATCCATGCCAAGTTCCATCCTCTTCTCAAACATTACTCAGATGGTGCTGGGGAGATGGCTCTGTGGGTAATGCTCTTACTGTACAAGCCCTGAGTTCAAATCCCCACAATCCGAGTAAATGCTGGGGAGTGGTGGCTGTCTATAATGCTAGCCCCAGAAGGTGAAAATGGGATTTCCAGAGTAAGCTGGCTAATGAGACTAGCCACATCATGTGGGCATATCATACAGTATTGTTATTGCCTTGGTTGAGAGACCCTGCTTCAGCGAACAAGTAGAAGAGCAACCTCAGGCTTCTATAAGCATGCACACACATGTGCATGACACCCCCAACAAAACATATATACGCACACGTGCATGCCACACACATACACATGAAAAATGGGAAAAGGAGAAAAGAAAAAAGACTTCAATGAACCCCAGATCTAAATGCAATTTAATATGCAGCTCTTAGAAGGCCATGGAAAGATCTGCAAACATGGGTTGGTGAAATGATTCTCCCGAGTCCACAATACTAACTGCCAAAGAAAATTACTGATCAACTGAACTTATCAAAATGAAGGGCTCCTGGGCTTCCTGCTGGTGCTCCACATGCATGCAGCCCCTGCTGCAGGTTCCTGGTGGCTAGGCTCCACCCTCCACGCCCACTGCATCACAGACTTGTATGGCAGTGTGTGCTATGCTGGGCACATCCAACACAGGCCCATCACATCCTCACCTTTCCACAAATGCCCCATGCACGTGGCACATAAATGCTCATCAAGCCAGGCTGGTCCCTGAACTCACACACACCAGCATCCTCAGTCCTCACACTTGGCTCAGCTGTGCCTTGGGCAGGGAGAGAGCCCTGGTTGATGCTGGGGGTGACACTTAAGGCCTTCTCTACTTGTCATTACAAACAGGGCTGCAGTCAGCACAGGAGCAGTGGCTCAGCTCTGAGGAGGATGATCCACTCACCCCCAGGGGGCTACTCCCACTGCACCACCAAGAGCTGGGGTGGAGGTGGAAAAGACTCTCCCACAGCCTCACAGGACACTGCTGTTGGTCTGCTGTGGCCAAGATGGCCATTTCACACCTCAGTGCCAGCAGGCCTCTTGGGAAAGAATCAACAGAATTCAATTCCTATGGCAAGGACTCAGGCCCCCTATTTTATTGCTGGCTATCACGTAAATGCTGTTCCCAGCTTTAAGAGTTCACCATGTCCATAGTTGTCCCTATAGCTTCAACATTAGCTGTGGGCCTAGTCCTGATCATACTGATAACTAGAACCATTCCCATCTTCAGTTCACACTTTAGTCACATCTGCCAGGTGAGGGATCAGGCTCAGGTTCTGGAACCAGGAGGTACTGCACCCCAGTCTTTCTGGTCTGCCCACTGCCAGCCAGGTGAAGGTGGCTATCATGCCTCCCTTCCCCTGGGCTGCCTCCTGGGCTATGAAATTGCAGAGACTGCAGAGCATTGATAGCAACCCTAATTGACAGCTTTCTTTAAGCTACCCTCTATCAAAAAGGCCAGTCCCCTCCTTGGAGAGCAAAGGCCTCACCTTGTGGTCTTGTTTGGGGCTATGTCTGTAAACATACACAAGGCCCTTCAACACCTGTCCTGCTGCCCTAGGGATGGGTGACCTGCCTGAAACTCCGTTCCTGTACTCACCTCTGACATGTGAGGGGCCAGGATTCCCTACAGACTGTGTAACAAAGAGGTCACTCCTAAAGGGACTACACAAACAAAGCTCCCTGGCCTGGGATCCCAGCACCAATGGGCTCCTGAGCTTGCTACATCACCACCAGTGACCTCACCCTGGTATATTTAGAGCTCTGGATCCCCACATATTCCTGAACCAGCAGTCCTCGCAGAAAGAATGCTGCTCAGGCCCAGTTAGCCTGCCAGCACAGAGTGTCCTTGTCCTTGGGCAGACACAGTCCTGCTTCCAGACAGCAAGAGGAGAACACCTTGGTGACCAGGGTCTGGCACCGAACTGGCGCCTCAGAAATCACTGAGAAATGCTGAGCCACAGGCCAGTCAGAGCGCCTCCTAGGAACTGCAGGGGTCAAGGTCTGGGAACTCTCCCAGGTAGGTGCTCAACATCCTATGGTTCTGCCTTGCCGTCTGCATCCTCCTCCTGCAGACACTCACCCAGGGAGCCTACCTCCCACACCTGCAGAGCCAGGAACCAGTGGGGCCACACTCTGGAGCCAGCACAAGACAGCCAGTGTCTGGGCTGAGACTGGGCCCTCTGAAGGCACAGATGTATCACAGAGAGGCAATGGGCAGAGGCAAGACTGCCTGCCTAGGTGGAAAGCAAAGAAGAGTTGGGGGCCCAGGGTCCCCTGGTCACTAGGACACAGCCATTGGGAGGGACAAACTACTTCTCTTTTCTGGGCAGACAGACCACACCTATCTTTTCTATTTTCTAGGTCACTCCTTGCATCCAGCTGTGTGTCAACACTCATCCAGTCATTCTACAGGTGTTCTATCTTTCTGTCTCTGCCTGGGGAACCTTTGCCAGTGTCCTAAAAGGCAGCTTCAGGGCAGACCTGCAGCTCATGGGGCCCATGCCGCTGGCCTAAGGGCCATTTGCAGTCTGCTGCTATCAGAAATAGCCTGGCCTATTCTCCTTTTGGGACTCATAAAATACTCTCAAAACTGTCAAATGGCTTTCCCATACAGAGAATTCACCTGTCTCCCAATTATTCATCAGGCCACTTGGACACACATCAATCTGTATTTCCTTAACAATCAATGTGGCCCAATACTGCCTCCCTTTCCCCACCAGTGATCTTGTCCCACCCACTCATTTGCATTGCTGTGGCCTCTTTAGGGAGCTATTTGCCTGGTCCTGGGGCCCCCAGCACAGTGGCACTGCCCTGTGCAGTCTATCCATGCCCATGTGGGAAGGCACCTTGGCAGTGATGTCATCCTGCTGTAGTGCCCACTCCAGTAGTGGGGCAGGATTCACCACAAGCCTAGACGTGACATGAATATTCATGATGGAACTTTTAGGAGGTGGAGCCTTGTGGAAGGAAGTCAGTCCACTGGCAGTACTTCCCCTGAAGGAGACATAGGGTCCTTAGGTCCCTCCTCTTTTTCTCTTTTCTACCAGGTTGCTATTAAGTAAGCACTGTCTGCCATGTGTTCCCACATCAATGTACTGTAAGCCAAAATCAACCTTTCCTCCTTTTAAATTGATTATGCCAGGCATTTTATTATAGTAACAGCAAACCAGCACAATATCTAAGGGCTACATCAGGGCCACATGCTTGGTGGCAGGTAGGGCAACTTCTCAGCTGGGACCTATACTAAAGAACCAAGGGCATGGACAGACCCTCAGAATGGCTGGCACCTTCATCCCCAGCAGGGCCCCAGCTGGTGCTGATTCAACTCCCATGACATTACAGCTCAACTAATGGGGAGCTGGGACAAGAAGCTGGCCAGGTAGGGAACACCAGGGTCTGGCACAGCTGCGAGCCAGAGACACATGGTGGCACCCCTCAGAAACCCTATTCTCTTTCATGTTGATGTTTGAGGCTCTCATGGCAGGAGGTACAGTAGCACTTACTTGCCAGCACTTCCAGGGGCTTCATGGCCAGCCACTCCATCTGCTGAGACCCCAGGAACTCCTCACAGAAACCCCCCTCCCCCAGTCTCAGGGGAGCTAAGAATCCCTGAGAGCTCACTAGAGCTCAGCTCTGGGGTAGAGTGGGGTTTCTGTCTCTCTCCAACAGGGTCCACATAACCCAAAGCAGGGCTGCACTAATTCAATGACTCTTCTATGTCCCAAAAGGCCTAGCATGCTCAAGAAGGGCACCTAACACAGCCTCAGCCAGGTTCTCAGGGTTCAGGAGCCATCTCCCCAGCTTTGCCCATGTCCCTTGACACACCCATTTCATTCTGTTTGTACTCCCTTTTTGGTATTGCAAGATAGTGTTCTCAGGGTTGGCAGGCTCGTGTGTGTGTGTGTGTGTGTGTGTGTGTGTGTGTGTGTGTGTGTGTGTGTGTGTGTGTGTGTGTGTGTGTTGTGTGTGGGCGTCAGCCCTGGGTTGCAGCCTGATAGCAGAAGCCCTTGACTCCTGTGGGTGGCCCAGAGGGGACTGTGGACACTGTCATGTGGTACATGAGGATGTCAAGTTT